GCCTCCCAGTCCATGCCCCGAGCCGCAGCTGCAGACCCCGGTTCACATGCAGCAACCGTAGCAGCCAGCGAGCAGAAAACCACAGGCACCAGCATTCCGCTCAGGCCCTTGTAGTTCGTCTCTTGTTTTAAGCCCTTTTTTACCTTTTTGTGAGACCCGCTACTGCACGGCTATTTTTCTCGAAGCCCGCCTCGCGCGCCAGCCAGCAGAACCCGATGCATGACACGGGATGGGAAACGATGGGGATCCATCCATCCATCCCTTCCTCGCCTATCCCAATCCCTGCTCTGATCATGAAAATGCATCGTCCAGCACGGTGGGGTTGTTGATCGCGCGTTCGCGGCCATGTCCATGTCTAGTGTATGTCCGTCCACCTGTCTGGTCCACGTCCACGTCCACGAAAATCCCCAGAGCAAAAGTTGGACCGGGAAGAGGGATCGACCAGGCACGTTGGCTGTCGGAATTATTCCGCCGGCTTCTTGAGAGGTCTATGGCTCGCCATGTACATACATACACATACAGTAAAGTTACAATGATGGGACGGCAGCCGCAGCAGCAGCAAGCGATCGCAGGGTTGATTTGCACACAGCCAAAAAAGACGAAAGGAACGGACGCACAGCAAAACCCTTCAAGGCCTGCGAGACATGCACGATGCACCACACTGCATTGACCACCACCACCACCTCGTCAAGCCGCCTCCCAAGGTCCCCTCCAAAACACGTGTGCCGACAAGGATCTTGCGATTGCGCGAATGACAAAGCAGCGGTGTGGTTAACAATTTTCCTTGGGGACCCCTGTCATGTAGGATGGAATGTCTTCTGTGTGTGACCCCAAAATGGACCGCAGACACAACCTCACAACAAACAAGAGAGACGAGACGGGTCGGCGTTGCCCGTTTTCGCTCGCTCGCCCGCCCGCCGCGCCCTCCGCCGCTGCCGTCGCTGCCGTAGGCGCGTGTCGGCCGTCGGCGGGTCTCGGGCGCTCGTTTTGTAATTCCGCGGGCCAGGCGCGCGCCCCCAAACCGGGACTTTGGGATTCCATGGTATGATCTGATCACGTCATTTTTTATTCTTGTTCGGTTTTCCTCCTTGGCCCTCCTTCCTCCTCCCGGGTCCCGGGCGCCCCCAAGTCCCGGGAAAAGGTTGCTGCCGGGTGGCTGTGCCTCGGGGTTGCATCTGCCGGGTACGGGAACTCCATCGTGGTTCTTTTCTCGCATGGTCTCTTTGGGGGTTGCGAATTCCGAGGGAAACGATCCCGCTTCCCTGGTTCGTTCGCCGAGCTGGTTCAGATCTGCGTTGCGACCACGCGGGTTGCGTCTCTGCCTGGAGGTGAACCACATGTCGGCGACGCCGTCAGAGGAGAGTGAGAAGGGCGCATGGAGCGAGATCGGGGCGCATTCGGTATTCGGTTTTAGGGCAGGTAGGTCCTCGCTCGGTCGGGCATGTCGGCGGAGTTATCGCAGGGCCGGTTATGGCGGGGCAAAGTGTTCGATGACGGGAACAGCGGGGTGACACGCGGTCGAACGACTTCATGCCTTGGGAAGTTCTTGTAACCTGGCATCGGCTGCAGCTGCGTAGTCTTCAAACCCCAGCTTCTTGCTCAACGTAACCGCCTGCTCGAACTTTTCGCGCGCTTCCGTGTTCTTGCCCAGCATCGCCAGCACAGAACCTAGGTTGGACAGCGCGACGGCGCAGGCTTGGTCGCACTCCGGCGTCCGCTTCTCGCCCTGTGTCTCTGATGCGTGGTCGATGGCGTTTTGTGCCCACCGCTGAGCGGCCGCGAGGTAGGACGCACGCTGCTCGGCTGCAGAGACCCAGGCCTTGGATTCCTCCATCATGGCGTGAACGGGTGCATCGCCGCGCGGAATGAGCGGGTGGTCTGCGAAGCTAGTCGCGATATTGTTCACTGGCACTGTTAGCCTCAAAGTACCTAGCTGATGAGTGCGAATTAAAGCGAGACTTACTCAAGATGGCGATATGGCAAGGATCTTGGCAGAGCCTCAGGGCCTGGAAGAAGAGCGGAACGGCGAGATGATGTTGGCTCTTCTCCTGGTAGCTTTGTGCGAGTGCTTCGAAGACATAGTTAGTCTGCGGCTCGTACAAGCAAGCGCGGATGGGACAACCGAGCTACTCACCCTCCAGACTCCAAGCCGACCTCTTCGGGGCTCATCCACGGCCCCTCCCCC